GGCTTTTCTCTGTATCTATGAAGCGCCTTGAGGCGACATTTGTTGTGATTTGGCGCTATATAAATAAAATTGAATTGAATTGAATTGAATTGTTAGCTGTCGCACTTCCTCTCTGTATGCTGACTCGTCGCTCGTGCTGATGAGACCCATCATAGTCGTGTCATTGGCGAACTTGATGATGTGGTTCTAACTGTGCATTGCTGCACAGTGACATGTCAGCAGAGGGAACAGCAGTGGGCTGGGCACACAGCTCTGAGGGGCTCCAGTGCTCAGTGTGGTGGTGTTGGAGATGGACTGTCTGAGGTCTCTCTGTCAGAAAGTCCAGGATCCAGTTGCAGAGGGGGGTGTTCAGGCCCAACGGGCTCAGTTTTCCAGTCAGGTGCTGAGGAATGATTGTGCTGAATGCTGAACTGAAATTTATGTACAGCGTCCACACATATGTGTCTTTGTTTCCCAGTTGGGTGAGGGCGAGATATAGGGTGGTGGCGATGGCATCATCTGTTGATCAGGTGGGACAATAGGTGAACTGCAGTGGGTCGAATGTAGGTGGCAGCTGGGTCCTAATGTGCCTTATGACAAGTCTCTCGAAACACATTCATCATGATGGGTGTGAGTGCAACAGGATGGTAGTTATTGACGCAGTACACTGAGGACTTCTTTGGCACAGGAACGATGGTGGTGGCCTTGAGGCACGTTGGAATGAAAGCAGTGAGAGAGGTTGAAGATGTCAGTGAGGACATCTACTAGCTGGTCTGCACATTCTCTGAGCACTCTTCCAGGGATGTTATCTGGACCAGCAGTCTTCCATGGGTTAACTCTTTGAAGAGTTCTTCTCACATCAGACGAGGTCAGAACCTGGTCGTTGTGAGGTGGGGTGGTCTTCCTCACCATCGCGCTGTTCAAAGCATCAAACCGTGCATAGAAGTTGCTCAGTGCATCTGGTAGGGAGGCGTCACTATCACAGGCAGGTAGTTGGTGATGCCCTGGATGCCCTGCCACATGCACCGCGTGTCACCACTGTCCTGGAAGTGGCTGTGGATTCTTCAGCCATGCATGCATTTCGCTGTTCTGATGGCTCGAGGCAGTTTGGCCCTCACTGTTCCCCGGGCCACCTTGTCACCTGTTTTGAAGGCGGAGTCTCGAGTCTTTAACAGCACACGCACCTCTGCAGTGGTCCACATTTTCTGGTCTGGTATTATGATAGTGCTGAAGTCAGTGACATGATCAATGCACTTGCAATGTTGCTGGTCACAGATGATGTGTACTCCTCCAAGTTGGTGCAATCGCCATTTGTAGCAGCCTCCCTGAACATGTCCCAGTCAGTATGCTCAAAACAGTCCTGAAGAGCAGAGAGAGCTCCAGCAGGCCAGGTTCTCACCTGTCTCAGAACCAGTTTGCAACGTCTGACGAGCGGTCTGTATGCCGGAATTAGCATAACAGACAAGTGGCCAGAATATGCGAGATGGGGAAGGGGCCTCGCTGGGTGCAGAATGAGAATGATCGAAATACACTAATACACTAATCATGAGAGTTGGATTGATTTTTACATCAGAGTGTGATGTGACCACATTTGCAGTCACATCACACTCTATGTTAGTGTTCAAACATGAGCTTTCATTGTGCACATTTGGGCTACACATTATACATTACAGAGGGTGAGCAGTGTAATGTAGGCTCCTCTGCCACCTGATGGCAAAGCAAATTACCCAGTGCTAGTGCAAACTCTACGACGCTACACACATTTTCCATTTTCAAAGCAAAACATAAAGAAATGAGAGGTGGCTCAGGACTTTTGGACAGTACTCTATGTTAAGCCCTTAATTTGATTCTTATTTCCTAGTTTGGCCCTTTGTGAAAATGAATTTGTCACCACTGTCCTATAAATTTTTACAAATGAACTGAACTTTGTCATCTTATTGCACTTTTTCTCATTTGAATATGTTGTTTAAATGTGATAACAAATGTTGTATTTGGGAGTAATTGATATACGAATACAAAGTAAAACAGTTCACGGTTAAAACAGTTTCACAAAAC